GGAAGTCAAAGTTTATATACAAATCTAGCTCTATGGACGTTCATTGTTGCTGGCAGTTATACTAACATCGATTCTACACATGCACTAGAGGAAAGGCTTAGTTTATATGATATGATTGTATTGTGGTTAGAAGGAATTACTGACTCGAATCTTGAGGGCAAGGTTCTTATTCAGGACGGGGGTATTGTTATGAATCAAAATAGTCGTGATTTCATATTTGGGCTTTTGGCAAATTACATTTGGGACCCTGGCTGAAATAGAGCATGTGTATTGCACGTGATAAAGACCAAGGAAATCAGGAGATAAATAATACGTTCATTGCATTCTAGTGTTAGGCTGAATTTTGTAGAAACTTCCCTTCTCTGGTCTCTCTATTCCCCTTAACTCTTTCTCTCTATGGCTCTGTCTTCCCATCCATTTTCTTTCTGTTACTATCCTTAGTTATTATTACTTTTCAGTGTCAATATTTCAATCTGTTATGTAATTATGGCCAATAGTTTGGCTAATGGAGTCCATCTCTTATAAGAATAAGCATCTTTGCAAAATGTAGACTTTGTTGTCAATATTCTTTGGGACCCAAAAATATTGCATTGTGTGGTGGACATCATTTGCACAAGTTGTATCTCTTCTTTTATACCTAAGAGGCCAAGACTTTTTTGCCTATAAAAGGGAAGGTCATAAGTTTATTTTAGACACACCAACAAGACTTGAGTCTTCATTTCTTATTTTTTTCCTTTCTTCCTTTATTAAGAGTGTTTTGTATGAGAGTTAAGTGTTGGGAAGCACTTGTGTGAACCCTTTCTTTGGAGTGATTTTGTGAGGTTATTCTCTTAGAGTTTTTGGGATTAATTTGAGTGTTTACTCTAAGTTTGTACTCTTATTGGTATAGTGAAATTGCTCTTCTTCGCTTGTGGACGCATGTCACTTTGACCGAACCACGTTAAATTTGTGTCTTCTTTATCTTCTTTAATTACTATTTTTATCAACTTCCATTGTATTTGTTAATGTCATTATACCATTGTTTGGCTAAATTTCGCACTACCCGGATTTTCGATCCTAATAAATTGGTATTAGAGCCGGATCTAATCGGGTTTATTTTAGTAGCCAATATGACTTTAACAAAGACTTATGTTGAAAAATTTGATCGAAGTGCAAACTTCGGAATGTGAAAATTAAAGATGGAAGCTATCCTAATTCAGGATGGCTTAGATTTGGCATTGCAGGGAAAGAAGAAGAAGCCAGATAAAATAATGGATGAGGAGTTTGCCGTTATAGACAAAAGGGCAAAAGCAGGTATCATTTGAAATCTCTCAAATAAGGTTTTACGTGAAGTTTTTATAGAAATCACAGCCAAAGGCATGTGGAAAAAATTGTAAACCTTAAATATGAAGAGGACGGTGGAAAATAGACTTTACCTGAAGCAGAAGCTTTATACAATTCGTATGGGTGAAGGTACCTCTATTCTCTCTCATCTTGACACCTTTGATTCCATTCTTATGGATTTAAGTAATATAGATGCTGAAATTAAAGATGAGTATCAAGTCGTGTTACTGCTTTGTTCTCTACCCCCATCTTTTAAGCATATAAGAGATATTATGCTTTATGCAAAAGATAATATCTCTTATAAAGATATTAAATCTATCTTAAAATCAAAAGAACATATAGATAGTGATATTACTAGGGAAGCTAGTGGAACTCAAGTGGAAGTTGGCTTGTTTGTTAGGGGCAAATACGACTCCATATCCAGATACAATAATTTAGAGTATCGCTATTGTCATAAGAAAGGTCACATTATCTCTAAGTGATATAAACTGAAAAATAAAGAAAAACATAAAGAAAGAAAAAATGAGCACAAAAATACTAACACCGTCGAAGTTAGTGTAGCAACTGATGAGATTGAGGGAACTATATTTTTAGCAACTGAAACTAGTTTCAAATTAAACAATGAGTGAATTTTAGATTCCGGTTGTTCATATCATATGTGTCCTAGCAGGAACTTATTTTTTTTTTTTTACATATGATTCGGTTGCAAGTGGAGTTGTCCAATTGGGTAACAATGTTTCTTGTAACATTATTGGCAAAGGTATAATTCGGATCAGAATGCACGATGGTGTGGTGAGAACTCTCACCGATGTTAGATATGTTCTGAGTTAAATAAAAATCTCATCTCTTTGGGCACTTTAGAATCCCTTGGGTGCAAATTCACTGGTGAAGGTGGAGTTCTAAAAAGTTTTCAAGGTGCTCTTGTGATCATACACAGATCTGGTTCTATGTATACTTTATTGGGCTCCACTGTTATAGGCCCTACTACAGTTTTAGTATCAGATAACTTGTCTGATTTTGGTGGTATTAAATTTTGACATAAGCCCATTGGGGCTTTTGCGGAGAAGGTGAAGCAAATTTACTATATCAGCCAAAATTAGACCAAGGTGGAGATTTGTAATTATGGCTAAAATTTTGGCTAATGGAGTCCATCTCACATAAGAATAAGCATTTTTGCAAAGTGTAGACTTTGTTGGCAATATTCTTTGGGACCCAAAAATATTGCACTGTGGGGTAGACATCATTTGCACAAGTTGTATCTCTTCTTTTACACCTAAGAGGCCAAGACTTTTTTGCCTATAAAAGGAAAGACCATTAGTTCATTTTAGACACACCAACAAGACTTGAGTCTTCATTTCTTGTTTCTTCCTTTCTTCCTTTATTAAGAGTGTTTTGTATGAGGGTTAAGTGTTGGGAAGCACTTGTGTGAACCTTTTCTTTGCAGTGATCTTGTGAGGTTATTCTCTTAGGGTTTTTGAGATTAATTAGAGTGTTTACTCTAAGTTTGTACTCTTATTGGTATAGTGAAATTGCTCATCTCCGCTTGTGGACGTAGGTTATTTTGACCGAACCACGTTAAATTTGTGTCATATTTATCTTCTTTAATTGCCGTTGTTATCAACTTCCATTGTATTTGTTATTATCATTATATCGTTATTTAGCTAAATTCCGCACTACCCGAATTTCCGATCCTAACATGTTATTTCTGTATTTAGTCGTGGATATTGGATCCATAACAAAACACAACCTGCATATTTTTTGTCCATTCGCACTTCTTGGATGTTAGACTTCTGCCCGTTGTTTGTTACTCTATTTCAGTTTTAAAAGGAAGCTTCAATGTGCACGATATGAAGAATCAAAACATTTGAGAAGTTTAAACTTGCCGCCTAATAATTGCAACTTCACTAAAGCAAAAGTGTTTTCTTCCTCACTCTTCACGGTCAACCATCATCAAAACAAAAATGAAAAAAAAAACTTTGAAGATCTTGCTCAAAGTAGAATCAATAATCAAGAATATACCTTGGTCAATGCGAAAAATAAGAGAGGAAAAAATAAAATATATATATATATATATATATATATATCAAGAATATACCTTGATTAAATTATCTGTTTTAGTGTTCCGTTGATCTGAATTGTGAAAATTTGAATATTTATCTATCAAAAAATTATAGGGTGACTATGGATTACTTATGGACGTGCATTGTTTTTCTTTAAAAGCATTGCAAGAATTACTCAATGTCATGTGTCCACCTTTAATGATAAAAAGATAAGAACTATATTCATGTATCTTTTACAGTTACCATGTATGTATCACTATTTCCAAACAAAAAGAGAAGGTGTATATATCACCTATTCCTTTATATCCAATAAATATTTGGAAAACGATTTCCTAACATAGAACATATTTGATGAAAAACATTATACGCAGGGGCGGAGCTAGAGTTCCGAATTGGATTCGGCCGAACTCAATAGATTCGGTCCACATTCTATATTTGTCTTTAAAAATTTATTGAATATGTACAAATTATTAATTTAGAACTCAGTAACTTAATGCATTGTTTGGATGGTTGTTACATATCGTTTTCATAATATATCGTATTGTACTGTATCGTTTGATGAATACAATGTTTGGATATATGTCGTCATTTTATGATATCACACACTAGCAATATGAAAAATAAACTTACAATATTATAAAGAAAAATTATGATACAGTATATAAAAAGGTAGGGTAAATGATAAAATAAAATTATTTAATAATAATAAAGGGTGAGATTGAGAGAAAAAGACAAGGTAACGACGCGACCACGCCAAATCGGTCGTTACGTAAAGTGGCACATTTCGTCGTTACGTAACAACGGATTTAACGATACAATATAATTAAATTTAAGTAACAATCAAAACAAACATCATATTTAAATTAACAATACGACACAATACAATAGGTAACAACCATCCAAACAAGCTGTAAAATGAATAAAATCCGGAACCCATTAATTTTAAATCCTGACTCTGACTCTGACTCTGACTCTGATTATACGTTACACCCATGAAAGTAATTTTTAGCCATTGTGAAACGATTAAAAATTACTTGCATTCGATATTTATATTAATTCAATAAATACATGACATATATCTTTAAATATATACCGAAGGGAACAGAGAACATATATACATGAACCAGGGTACACTAACATAGGGTTTTAAATTTTATTGCAACCGTTGCTACTCATAAAAACTAAGAGGAAGAGTACTAACGCGGCAGAAAGGTTTGAAGATTCTTTGGTCTTCATTTTTCTTTCGTCCCAATTTTCTCAACATTTCTGACTTCCAAACCTCTCATTCTCATTCCTCATCATTGATTCGATCAATTCCATTTTTATTGCTCCTACGTTGGATTACCAAAGACCAACTTTTTCCCCACCTTACATGGGATTTTNGGGGGTGGGTTATTGGGATTTTGAGTTTAAAAGTTGAACTTAAAAAATAAGTTGATGCTCGGGTTAGTTTGAATGGTCAGCAATTGGACTAGCTTACTTATACTACAATTCCCTTGACCGAAGACTGGTCTACGGTAGCTATTCTGCAGTCAAACTTTCTCCAATCGTTCCCTTTATATATCTCTTCCTTTTTCTCCTATTTTCTACATTCAAAATCACAAGCAAAAAATTCATCTTTCTTTTTTTTTTTTGCATGGTTTCACCAATTAAATTTAACTATCATATTCCTACTCTGTCTCTCCTGCAGCTTTTTGTCTTGTATTCCACGTATACTTTAATTTCTGAAATGGAAAACTATGGTGCTGACAATAATGGGGAGTTTAATAGAATTATAAGTGAACTAACTCAGGGTAGGGACCTAGTTTATCAGCTCCAACTCCAACTCAATTCCTCCTCTTCTTCCCCCGAAACAGCTCGAGATTTCTTGCTTCATAATATCCAATCCAAATTTGACAAGGCTCTTTCTTTGCTCCAGTTGTCTACTGGAGACTCTTCTAATTCACTACTTCCACATTCCAATTCCGTGCCAATACCCAATTTTGGAAGGTCTGAATCCCCACCATCATTCACTGCGAGTCCCCCTCACAGTGAAGATTCTGATCGTGACCTCGAACCCAAAGACTCTGCTACCCGCAAGAGGTTTTTTCTTATAAAAAAATGCATATATATAAATTAATTATTGGTTATATTTTTCACGTATGATCATTACTGATATGCTGATGTTTCATTTCACAGAAAAAGCAGTACGCCACGGTGGACAAAGCAAGTTCAAATTTGTCCCGGGGCACCAATTGAAGGGACTCTTGATGATGGTTTTAGTTGGAGAAAATATGGGCAGAAAGATATTCTTGGTGCCAAATATCCAAGGTACAATTCTTTTAGTGCACCGGGCTCTACTTTATATATATATATATNAAAAAATGGCTGTGAAATGCAGAGGATATTACAGATGCACGCTTCGACATGCCCAAGGTTGTTTGGCTACAAAACAAGTTCAAAGATCCGATGAAGATCCCACAATATTAGAAATCACTTATAGAGGAAGGCACACTTGTAATCAAGGCGGTGCTAGTGCCAATAACAATAACAATAACAATAACAATAACAATGTCATGAATCCAGCACCTTTGACTATAATACCTCAGAATCAAGAACCAAACTTAGGAGTTGGATCAGGAAATGAACATCACCAAATGGTCTCTGTACCCAATCAAAATCCACAGGAAATCCTCTTGAATTTTCAGAGAAACCTCAATATCTCCAACGACAATAATTTCAACTTCAATTATGATCCTAACAATGTGCCATTTACATCTTTCGCTTCATCGTCCGATATCAAGGCTGATCAAGATTACAGCTTTGTGCCTAATTCCATAATTCCAAGCAACAACTTTGTGGAGAATTTTTCTCCTTCTTATATGTCTGCAGGAACTTCAGGGTCGTCGTCAAGTTATTTTGGGTTGTCTTCTAATTCTGAAATGAACACTTTTGGAGGGAAGCAAAATGGTTCGAATGACTACCCATTTAACACATCAAACTTCCCATTTGATTATCCGGGATTCTCTTCCTAATCCCACCAAATGTTGCAAAAGGAAGTGACTTAACCAAGATGATGAGCTGCTGTTAAGTGTTGACCACTAAAATCAGGGATTAACGAGCTGCTGAAGCTAAGCCAGGGACAATTTTGCACCATTTCTTTTTGCAAACATTGCATTAGGATTGAGCATGCTAGTTTAAATTAACCCATTTCCATTAATAGTATCTGTTTTGTTGGTCATCTTTACGTTGTACTTTCTGAATTAATTATCTCTGTTGGAAGCTTTATGTTAGACTCCATTATTGGAGTCGATTGTGTTTACCCGAAAAATAGATAGAGTTGAATTTATACGCAGTTCCGAGGATATGTGGCGTAACTTAATACAAAATGCAAGGATAAATAAATATGTAAATATAGATTGGAGAGAATGCAAAATAGATAAGGTTATCAGGAACAATGGATCTTAGGATTCGACAAATAGAATCAATCTATAGAGTTTGAAAGAGCGATTTTTTACTGTAGAAGAATATAGCACTTTTATTACAATGTAAGCCTCAGAAAAACTTGTCCTACCGAAATGATAACCAAGCCCTTTTATAGTGGAGGGATTTGGCTCTAAGCATAATAAAATAAATATTCAGTGGGAGACCCATGATAAGTCAGCTTTTCCATAATTTCTGCTAAGATTCTCTTTAGTGGGATTGCAACGGCTTTTGTCTGCGAGCCCGATCTTGCTTAGAACCCTCGATTTTGGTTTGAGCTTGATTTCGGCTTGAACTTGTGATCTTGGTTCGAGCACGATCCTGGTTTGAGCCCTCGAATTGATTCGAGGTCAATGTTGGTTGGTCTCTGGATTATCAGCATGATAGGTCTACTCTGCATCATGGTTCAATTCTTATTCGAGCTTTGATAATGACATCGAACTCGACACGGATCGGCCTCCCCGGGTTCGAGGTTAGTTTGTTCCCCCTTCGGGATCTTACTTCGATAAATCACCGTTCGAACTCGATCGGACGTGCCAAGGTCGAAATCTATTTCGACCGTATACAGATTGAGAGAAATTGAAAGTGAGAAGAGAAAAGCCCTAGGTCGAGCAACAGGAGAGAAGAAAGATATTTTTCATTTTATTTCATGTTGTATCTAAAACGTTCTAGAAGAAACTCTCTATATCCGTATTACATTTATGAGCTTTTTGTTACATAATTGGGCCGGGTATTTAACTATTCTATTGGGCTTCTTGTCTGAGACTTTTAACAGCCCAACACCCCTCCCCTCCCCCCTCCCNAAAAAATAGTTCTTTCTTTATTTGTGCATTTTAGGAATTAACTAACTATTTTAATTGGTGAATTAATCTAGTTAATTGATCATTTGAATAAGTTACTTAATTAATTTATTTTTTTGTGTAAATTTAATTTAATAAGCAGGATTAAGGAAGAAATTGGGCCAAATTTGAAAGAGAAAGTGGCCCAAAGTGCAAGATAAGGGGCTGTCCTTGAAAGGGTCTGAAACGACGTAGTTTTGCCTCAAAACTACGTCGTTTCATTAAGTGACCCCAGATTAAATCTCACCCATTGTTCACCCTTTGATCTAATGGTCCATATTTGATCTCTCAAGAGGTATTTAAAGCCTCAAAAATCTAAAAAATTCCCTCATTTCCCCTATAACTCTCTCTCTCTACTCTCTCTGTCTTCTTTCCGCCTCCGCCGCCGCCGTCGAAAATCGCCCACCGGCGGCGGTCAACCTCCAAACACCCCCAAATTCACACCATGTGATCTTCACAACCTCCTCTTCCCATATCTCCAAACTAATTCCTTCAAAACCCCATCAAACTCCTTGAATTTTAGATCTAGGAAACTTTAGCCTCCACTTTTTTGCCCAAACTCTTGAAGTTCTGGCCACTACCACCCCACAATACATACATCAACGGATAGAGCTCATCAAGGCCTACCTATTGATGTCAATTCCATCCCGAAAATCAGGCAACTAAAAATCCGGCCAAATTCCGGCGACCACCCCGAACGCCCTCGTTTGGTATACCCCTATTCTCATTTCCTTTGTCTATTTTTTCTAATTGTATTGTATTTAGTTTATGTCTAGCATAATTTATGATTTTTTTATTTATTATTATTATTATTATTATTATTTATATTTTTATTATTAGTTATGTTTAATCTATGTTAGCTTAGTTGTTCATAGTTATTAATCACCGATAATTAGTTATTCATTAGTTTTGAAATAGCTATTCACTTAGTTATGATAGTTTATGATAAAAGTTTCAAGTGCTTAGTGAATTTATTTTTATTGGATTTAAGTATTTGAATTTTGTGTTGATAAAAGCTAAAATTAAAGAAGAAATAGTAAAAGTTTGGTTGTTTTTACTGTGCAAAGACTTTGGAGTGCAAAACTCAAAAGTCATTTTGTAATGACAAATACAATAACTTTTGACAGCTTTTGAACAGTGTTTAGCACACAAAGGCAGTCTTTTGGACAGACTTTTGGAGAACCAAAATCTGTCCAAAAAATCTGATTTATTTACCTATTTAAAGGGCTATCCTTACTCACTGAAGAGGACACACACTCTATCTTACACTGAGAGGAGATCTTGAGAGTTGCTTGAACACACATATGGTTGAACAAAAAATCAGCAACTGAATACTTTAGTAAGCTGAAAAGTTTTGCTCTTTGTGAGTGAATCGTCGAGCGCAAACTTTAGAAAAGTAGAAGTCTTCTTTAGAGTTAGTTCTGGGTTTCTTCTCTAAGGTTTTCGGGCTATTTAAACACGATTTGCTGCTGGATTTCTGCTGATTTTACTGTTGTTCTCAGTCGTTTTCTGTTGCTGAGCTCTCATTCTTCACTGTTATATTTATTTTCTGTGACCCAGGTAACCTTTAAACTTTGTAATGCAGATTTTTTAATAGCAATTGATAAGGATTTGGGCATGTTTAGATTACTTGAAGCATATGCAAGGAAATTTACTATATGGATGAATGTTGAGGTTTAAATCTTGAAATCAAGCTTTGGATCATAATGTTAAATCCATGACCTTTTTTGCCTTATTTATTTATTTATTTATTTATTTATTGCCTCTTAGCACTTCTCTATTAATCTTTAAGTAGTACTTTATGAGAATCTTGATCATGTCATAGAAAAAAAAATTATTAAAGACTTGATGAAAAGTTTGAAAGTGGGCACAATGTATTAGTTTAGTATTTAATAAGATTGGGCTAACAAGAATAAAGGGCCAAATAAACTAATATGTTGGCCCATTTTCACTGATAACTAATCTGGCCCATTTTTGTTTTTAATAAGCAAGGGCTGGCCCAATGCCAAAGCATGTTCAAAAAGGGCCATCAGTTTTGATACTCAAATAGTTGGCCTATTACCTTTTAAATCAATGGTTGTCCACTCTTTAAAATAATAAGTTAGCCCAACTTTTCATATTTTTATTTTAGTCAAATAATCTCAATGAAAACCAGAATTTTCTTTTATTAAAATAACTTTACAACTTAGTCTCCTTAATAATTAATTTAAATGTTAGGCAATTAGTAGGCACGCTTTAACTTCACGGGCTCGCTTGCGTAGCGTTGATATTATTTTCATTAAATTAATTCAATAATGTCATACCATACTCGTTAACTTTAGTTAATTTTTAATTTAATAAATCCATTGCTAAACTCGCGGATTCGTTTGCGTAGCGCGATAGTTAACTTTCAATAAATTTCAAAATTATTTTCTTCGAATGTTGTAATTTTCTCCAAAAGTAATAACGAACTAATAATCCTCGTCATGACTGCGGATTCGCTTGCGTAGCGCGGTTATGACAAAATCAATAAAATTTATCTCGGTCACACAATCGTTTGCGCGGTGCGGTTAGGACAATTTTATTCAAATCTTTTCTTTAATAATTTTAATAATTAAAAGTGGATAGGTAAAACATAAAAATCTAAATAAAACACAGTTTATCCAAAATAAATTCAAGCCAAGTTTAAGTCAATAAAGCGTCCGTGCTAGAACCACGGGACTCGGGGAATGCCTTACACCTTCTCCCCGGTCAACAGAATTCCTTACTCGGACTTTGTTTTCGCAGACCAATTAATAATAGAGTCAAACCTTCCTTTGATTAGGGATTCAAATAAAAGGTGACTTGGAACACCGAAAAATCAATTTCAAGTGGCGACTCTGTAAATAAAATAATCCCTATTCAAATTTGTCACTTCAATTGGAAAAACTCTTTAACTCACAATCCATAAAATAACACACTAATATATCTTTTTTGGGGTAAAAAAAAAGGGTGTGACAGCTCTGGCGACTCTGCTGGGGACTTCAAGAATTCGGGATTGTACATTGACTTTATTAATTTTTATATATATTGTGATTGTTTTGGCCCTAATGTGCTACTTGTCCACTTTTTACTGCTTTGATATTTTTGAACTGTACATATAAATTGTATTCTCTCTCGTACCCCTATGAGTGTTCTGATAGTTAGTTATGTTGTGTTTTCCTACCAGCATCATAAAATTTCTGTCTTGAGATAAAGTAGTTAGCCTACCAGCTTCTAGAGAAGGATTTAGTCACACATGTTTAGGCGAGAGAGTCGTTAGCTAGACAGTGTTGTTCTACTACTGGTGACGTTTGACGCTCCTCGGCTCGGGTTGTCCGCCCGGGTAAGCTAAGTCTAGAAACCATCTCCTTTATGATTTTGGAAACTTAGAAGAACAAGCCACAAGCAATGAATATCCCTAGTAGGCTACGCTTTATTTGTATCGTGTGCATTTGACTTAGCAGCGCTCAACACATGGGTCGAGTTCTGTTGTAGGACAGGTACCTTGTTGAGACCATTATGTCATGTTATATGCTACTTGTTGCATTATTTGGGAGGCTTGCATATCGACCGACTTTAGCATAAATCAGTTTAATGAACAAAGAAAAAATGATGTGGTCTAGTGCATATGATTTATAAAGATTAATTTTCATAAAAATCAAAAAAGAAGAAGAAACATAGCCGGTTTTAACTGAACTACGCGGGTCTGATTCTCACCGGATGTGAGATACGTAGGCAAATCTCATTGGTTCCGGCCCCCAATTTTTAAAAATACAAAAAATATATTTTTCTTTAATTCTTTCTTTGGAAGTCTTTCTTTGAGACATCAAATTCAAAAATCCAAAAATATTTTCTTCTTTTTTAAAAAAAAAGTCTTTCTCTCAAAATTCAAAAAAAAATCAAAATCCAAAAAATATTTTCTGTCTTTTTAAATTTACAAAAAAAAAATCCAAAATATTTTCTTTCTTTTTTTAAAAAAAAAGTCTTTCTTTCGAAGATTAAAAAAAAATAATAACAAAACAAAAAAAAA